GCGGCTTTCCCCTTTATGAGCGGGTATGGTGGGCGCTGGGTAGTGTAGGGTGTAGCGGAATCTGAAGTGTGACCAGGACATTGGCAGGTCCTTTTATTGTCTGCAGCTGTTCGTCTGAGGGCTGGTGGTTGGTTATATGTGTGGGCTTAAAATGCTGCAACGCAATTCACAACACGTATCGTAATTTTGCGATGTAGGAGTCGCTGTGGCACGGACACAGTCGGTGGTAGTGGCAGCAACAGCGGCAACATCTTCTGTGGCAGTTCTCCTCTGCCAGCGTTCACTTTAATGCGCATCAGCATCGATAGTTAAATTAACTGAAGCACCCACGTGTAACCACGCTGCATTGAGCGGTGGGGCGTGGTTGGAAGCACAGAGAGAAAAGTTCGCCTTCCAAGCTTAGATGATCGACCAAAACTGAAAATTGACCTGAAAATCAAAACCTTTTTTTTTAATTTTCCAATTAATTTCAACATTCAGGCAATAAATTTCTTGACATTAGAAACGATTTAATTTTTTTTCGCCTTTCCTTAGTTTTTGGTAATAATATTTATATTTAGGAAATATATTTATAAAAGTATAGATGAAAATCCATCAAATTGCTTTCAATGTTTAGATTAGCTTAATGTGAGAAATCGTAAAATATCGCCAAATAATTTAGTTGACGGCAGAACAATTTAGGCTCAGAATTCGGTGTGCGTACCCAGGAATTTAGGCTTTTAATTTTTGTAAATTTTGAAAATATTTCATTTTGAATTATGAAATTGGAACCAGAATTATTTTTAGGGATAAACCAAATATTTAATTTTCTGCGCTGTCCTTGGCGTCAAGAACATGATTATATTCATTAAGAGTGATTTGTTTTTCTAAGTGCATGCACATATACGCCCAAGCATACTGCAATCAGTGACTGATTGACAGACACACAGACAGTGAGATGAAGTGGACACCCCCCTCCAAAAAAAAAAGCTAGAGACAGAGACAGTGACAAAGAGAGATAGAGATCGATAGTTGTAGACACTTGGGCAGACAGTCACATTACATAGTAGAACTGAAACCACAAAGCCATAAAATTGACGCAGAGTTTTAGCCAGCTATCAAGAGCAAGCTAACATTAGCTTTAACAGGGACAAAAGGTGCTGTTTTGGGGTTAAATTGCTCTACACTTGCGCTGCGCTGATTTATTGTCCATTGCTTTTGCACACAACTTTAAAATAGTTCAACTAAATATGTGTGTGTGTGTGTGTGCCACACAATTATGCCATGCCACGCAGTAGCAGGTAAGCAACTTTTACTTATATGTGTGTCCCTTGTGCTGCTGGTCATAAACAACACTTTCACGGACACCCGAAAAGGCGACGTGCGTCGCGACATGTTTGTTGCTGGCGCTCGTGCCAACGACAACGACAATGAGGGTAGCAACAACTACAAGCCAAAAACAAGAATAGCAACAACAAAAAGAGCAACAACAATGGTTGCTCGTTTTGTCGCCAATACTTTCCATTTTCCTTTGGTTTTATGTAGCCCGCTTTTCCATTTTTTTATGATCATTTTCAGAAGCAACTTTTATTTTGCTCTTAAATTTAATTTCAGTTGCATTGCCAGAGGCAAAATTGCAAACGCAAATCTTAAAAAGTTGCGCCCATAAAAAAGAAAACAAAGCAAAAAATCGAATCGAGAGCGGACTAAGTCAGGTGTTCAACTGGATAAGCCAACAAAATTATTATGAAAGTAGCGCGAATGTAATCAAATTTAGTTCACAAGTGAAAACTACAACAACAACATTAAGATTAATGCCTGCAGCGCAGCACTCAGCTGAAACTGTAAAATCCACGTGTGCATGTTCGGTAGTTGGTCAGGTAATCTGTAAACTGCAGCCATAACAAACTTTATTTGACTAAGTGGGTGAGAGGGACAAAACCCTTGAATACATACATATAAATGCATATACATATTTGTGGCATTTTTTATAATAAGTAAAAAGTGGGAGATACCCTGAACCCTGCTTTTATACACATTAAATCGATTAAAATACTTGATCTAATACGTACATTTCTGCATAAAATGCTTGTGTCCGTTTATATTAATGAGAACAATATGAACATGGGTCAAAACCTTCTGATCTAGATCAAATTCGTCCAATTGGAATGCTACACGCTTTCAATTGTGACTTATATATATATTTATATTCACTTAGACAGACAGGCTGACGGACGTTGCTAGATCGACTCGCCTGGTGATCGTGATAAAGAATATATATACACTCCACGAAAATCGATTAAAAGCACTTGATTTTATCATTATACAATTAAAAATAACATAAATTTGTAACATTATTATATCATTTTTAATTAATTTTTTTTGTTTAAAGTGAGGATTAAGTGCGAAATTCGATTAAAGGCAGTGCGAATAAAATTAATATAATATGTAGAAATAAACAGCCTTCGTAGCTGCTCTCAAACTGTCTCAAACTGTCGATTACCCATTTAAGCTCGACGGAACAGGTGTCCCCACATGTTCTCTATGGGATAAGTCGGATCATCTACCTGGTCACTCTAAAAGCTTAAAATCCTTATCCCGAAACCACCCACGACAAGTCAGCGACACATGCATTGGAGCATATTTATTCCTGTTGGAATAAGGCATTTGGATCTGGTTGATGCTCCATAAAGTTCACAAAAACTTCGACCAGATCCTGAGTGAAGCACTGCCACAGCTTTGTGTAGGGAAAAATCTCTCATACTTCTTTAAATCATGCCAGTAATAATTAAAACCAGAAAATATCACATATAAACACTGCTGTGTCCAGAACATGTTTTCTTTTGCAACATTAAATCTGGACAGTGGTGTACCTTCGTAAGTACCTAATTTTTCGATATTTGTAACGATATTTTTATCCAGCCCAGCCCGTAAGATTGCAGAATTTTTGTGTGATAATTTTCTGATGTTGGCTTTTTAGCATGTTTTGTTGCATTTTTCTCTTAATTTTAGTAGGTTATCAATTGTTGATGCCGATTGACGGAATTTAATTGATATTTGCCTGTTGTTCAATTCAGTATCTTTTGTATATCCTAAATGTAGCGTATTTTTTCCATTCTCATTCAAAATTTTTGAATGCCACTGATCTATTTCTACCTATAAAATATTAAATAAATATGTATTCTTTATTATCCCAAACAAAGAAATTCCATATAACGTCCTACTTCCTTTTCCGAAGGAAAATCGAATTTCGCACCCAAACTAACTCAAAAGCACAAAAATGCTAAAAGCTTGGCAAAAAAACTAACGAAAAATTCATTCCAATGCATCATAACAGTGTATAAAATACGTAAACAAGTTCCCGTTTGTTTTGGTACAGTTTTAAGCACCGTAAACTCGAGTGTCCTTAATCGAATTTCGCGGAGTGTATTTTATATTGTATGAGTTGCATTCTTCTGCCTCATTCAAACATTTCTACAAATTTTGTCAAGTTCCAATTCATAGTGATCCAGAATTAACAGTTATGTATATTATTTACTAAGTGCAGAAGCTAGACTATAAAGTGATTAAAACTGCTTAGAAATGTAACCTGTCCCTTTAAATAAATCATTAAATTAAAATTCAAGCAATTACGAATTGTCTGTTTCCATTTCATACGTTCTTGATGCAATTAGCCAGATACATTTGTTGGAAAACGATATGAAACTGTTTAATAGAATACATTTGAATTAGAGTGTTAGATCAATCACTAAATTTGACTTTCAAAAATTGGAAGTTGTCGCAAATTCATTCGGAATCATCTTTGAATCCTATGTTACCCATATATTTGGTAATATTATATGTGATTGTTCAAAAATTTGACTAAAATGCGCATACAGCTAATCTTTTCTATTTATTGGAAAGGCTAAGCTAAAAGTCTAGAATTAAGTTAATAAATTCAAGGACTTCAACTGGCTATTAAAGTTAATAATGAAACTAAGCTTGGGTACTTAAGTAAGTACAATAATCGTTACTTAAAGTCAGTTTAGCAGTTCGATTCAATTGTTTTACTCATTTTTTCATATGTCTGCTAAAAGTTCATAATGCAATTTATTAATTAACATTCGATATGATTTGCAAGTTCTACTTTTACGACTCTATGTATATGTGTGGATCTGTGAGTGTATGTGTGTGTATCGCAGTAAGAGAGGCTGCTTACGGGCAACAACTTTTTGGCACTTCGTGGGGCGCAACAAAATGTGCGAAAACTCTTTGAAATGTTCTTCCTTGTCAAGGGCTAAACGCATTAGGGACACGCCTCCCGCCTTCCCTGATGCCCCACGCCCACCAGACCAACCCTACTCAGCGCACATAAGTTGCAGATGTGTGCACACAAGCGTGCCGCATCATGCTGAGTCGTGCAGGTGACGTAAATGGGGGCGTGGCAATTAAACAATAACAACAGCCTCTTGGCTTGGCTAACATTGTTTTCGTGTACCACACACACACTCACACACATATGTCCGCACATGCACATACAAACTGTAGTAGCTGCTGGAGTAGCTACTTCTTTGGCAGCCGGCACCAAAGTTTTTTAATTTAAAAACTTTTTGTTGAGACTTGAGATTTGACGGTGTGTTGGAGGTGGGGATATGTGTGAGTGTGTGTGTGATGGGGGGTGGGGGGGGGGAGAGGCTGAGAGGCCAAAAGATAAACAGACGCCTTATGAACAAGTGTAAATATTGGCGGTGTGTACTGTGTGCCACGCCCATAATGACACCCAATAAGAGTCGGATGGGAGTCATCATCAACTTGTCGTCGTCGTCGCACTTCCTTCTTGTTATTGTTGCTGTTGTTGACGTCCTGTTCGCATCCTTGACCTGTGCAAAATGCTCTGACATTCCAAAAGATTTGTGTTTTCTGACAGCGGCCAAAAGTTGCCAAGACAGCTGCCAAAGTTGCTGTTGTTGCTGTCGCATTTGCTGTTGCTGTTGCATGCTTGTATTTTGTGGATTCGTGTTGTAGTTGCATGGAAAACTTACCGCACTGCAGGAACTTCGAGTATATCCCATTCAACGGACGTATAGAACTCGGAGAGATCCACGCCCACTTCAACCACATTGGTGCCGTTCAGTTCATCAATGTGACGCAGATCCACCTGTCATTTAAAACAAAAAAGACAAAAGAAAAAGAAAAAGAGACCGACTTTGGGTTAGTAAATTACAATTAGTCTCAACGTGCGGGGGAGAGAGAGAAATTAACTTCAAAATAACAGAGCTACACGCGTTGGCAACGCACATAATTGACTTATAGGAAATTGATATGGAGCTAAAGGGATTAGTTCCTTATCACTATACCAAGAAAATTCAGTTTTTCTTTTCCATCATGCTTAATATGACCTATTCCCTAATTTCATTTTTCTAATCAATAAGCTATAAATATTTAATATTAATCAAAATATCGTTCAGAGAGCGATTTTCAATGTGACAGTGTATTTTTTTACAGTCAGTTAAGTTTATAGGACCCAATCTAAGCTTGAAATAAACTCTATATATGAGGTCGATTTTGATCAACTCAATTTTAGCAATTATTTCAAATAAAAGCTATAAGTTTTAAATTATAAATGAAAAATAGAATATGTTGCACTTTGACTCAATGAAAATGCCCAAATGCACAGGCAACACAAACTCATTTGGAAAAGCCAAGTAGTAGAGGGCATTAAGAGCCTAGAAACTATATCTAAGCCAGTCAAGTTTGCACTTCAGTTTCTGTTTCAGTTTTATCCAGCTCGGCACGAGTGCAGCTGACAGGGCATGGACACTGCAGTATAAGTGCAGGATGTGGACAGGACATCGCTGCAATTGGCATGCCAGACGCACAACTGGCACAAGCTTCAGCCCAAAGCAGCTGTTCATGTATTCCGCAAACACACTTTTCTCGAAGCGACAACAGCAACTTTGACATGCGCTTCGTCATGCACCAGAAAGCAAATTGAATATTAATGCTTCTTTCATTCCTATTGGGCATGTTACTTATGGTATAAAGTAAGGCAACATTGAATAAACTCAAAATAAGTTTGCTGGTTTGCATTACATTGTGAAGCAATACAGAAGTTTTTCCCACAAAAAAATTCAAAATCAGTTATTAGTAGTTTATGTGCAAATACTTAATACATACACTTATAAAATAAATCTGTAAAATATGTTAGCATGCGAATCTGATTAAGAAAGCAGAAATTAAATTCACAAGGCACAAGGGTGGATTTTTCGGTTCTGTGATTGCTGAAGTCGGTAATTAAAATAATCATATTACCTTTATAAATTCATATAACACATAATAAGATGAAATAAAAAATTAAATAATAATTGACTATTCCGATTATTTCGACAATAATAGTTGACATAAGCGAGTAGTAATAATTTATTAAGATTGTGATCTCTCTCTTAGTTTGGGAAAGAACTAATTTATACAAAATCCTGACATAAGACTGTTACTTACAATATTATTTGCTCTTAAGGATATCATCAATTTAAAGTGAGATAATAGAGAGTGCATCAAGATTTCGGCATCTACATGATAATTTTTGGCACTTGGTTTTTGTTGCGATTGTCGTTTGGGATTTGGTGGGGCGTTTGTGTGGCGTTTACGCCTCGATGAGCTAACATGGTGAGAGAACGGGTCTTGGGTCGTGCTGGGAGTATGGGAGGGCTGCAAGAATTATTCTTTTCGCAGAGGTGTGAGATGAAAAAAGCGTGAAATTTGAAAAGTGACGTTAATTCGATTTGAAGCTCGAATTGAGGCGAGCTTAGTCAAGTTGAGTGGCGTTGCTGATGGGCGGGGTACAAAAACGTCGATTTGTGCCAAATCAAGTGTGAAAATTGAGCCTTTGAGCACACACGCCTAGATAGGCACTATGGAATTCATTTATTCAATCATGTTCAAGTGCAGACCGAAATGTCCATAAGAGACTTTCACTAAAACATTTTTTTGAATGATTATACCCTGAACCTATGATGATTAAAAGTTATATAACAGACAGAGGGAAGCATATCTGTCCCTGGCTCCCTTTGGTGATTATCGACAAAAATCGAAAATATAGCTTTCCCATTAGAATGATATAGGAGGATATATCTTAGCATACCTTTGAATAACTGTACAAATTTGATCAATATTTATTAGTCTACATTAAACATGCATACATACAAATTTACATAGATACATTATGATAGATAAAGAGCTGGGATCGACCTATTCTTTAGGTTAATTTGTAAGTTCAATTTATAGAATATTTTCAAGCACATATGTATGTTGGCTAAAGTGCATATTTGCACCATAGTACTGTGTCGGCATGTTCTGCTTCTGGCCACATAAAATTAGGCAATTGACGTTCGCTGCCTTTCAACAAGAGCGGGTAGCAGCAGCAACAACAAAAGCTGGAATTATACAGGATGTGGGTGAGCCTTGCCAGGTGCAAATGTTGCTGCTGATATAAGTAGTTGTAGCTGTGTAACTGTGACGGCAAATGTAGTTGTAACGGTGTATGTATGTGTAACTGTATCTGTAACTGTAACTGAAACTGCTGAAACGGAAATTGTTATTTTAAGTGGTAGCGGAAATTTCACTATAAGGAAGTAACGATTTACTGAAATATTTCCGATGCTGAAAGATGGTGTGGCAGGCAACAAAAAGTAAGTAAAGTAAGTAAGTAAAGCGAAATAGATGAAAGAATGCAGAGAAAGGGACAGAAAGGTGGAAAAGTCATAAGGAGACCGTTTTTATGCCGTGGGGCACAGTTGACAGACAATTGTAAATGCTTTCAATTCACAATGAAGCTATGGGCGACGAGTGACGAGCGACGAGCGTCCATCAAGCCGTCCAGTTTCTATGTCCGTCCTGCCTCCCTCCAACCACCAGCCTGCGACACTCTCTTCATCTTGCTCATTGTTTCCATTCGTTGGTGTTCGCTGCTGCTTCAGGAGAGTTTATAAATATTCTATTGTATGGCTCTGTTGATACCGCTTATTGCGGTTGATTTATGCGCAACGCAAAAGATGTCCCCATCCCAAAAATGAGGCGTTGAAAGCGACAGCAACATAACGTACAACAATTGCTGTCAACTACATTTAAATACAAGCACACACACACATATATTAGTATTTCTTCTTTATATATATATATATATACATATATATATATTTTGTCTACATACAAACACACTCACATACAAAACAAAGTAAGAATTTTGCAGTCCCCATTGGGGAGGTGGAGGCGGTAGTGGGTGTGTGTAGGACGTTCTTAGTAATGTACTTTTCAAGTTTGGTAACTGTAGCTTTGTGGGAGAGGTCTCTTTTCAATTTTTGGGAACAGGCATTATTAATCTTTAAAGAGGGCAACTAGTTCAGCTCAAAAACTGTGTAAGATATTCCGCGATTTCTTGTTTTTTGGATTTGAGACGTGGGTGGGCATCATCGGTACTGACATTACAGCAAATTTAGTTACTCTATCATTAAAATTTTACAAAGTTACGTGACTTTATCGACTTACGATTATCGATTTGATCGTTACCCATTTTGTCTAACTAGGAACAGACGAGTATATGTCCCAAGCTTTACACATTTGCAAAACAAATAGACTCTTATACCTAGCGTGACCGGGTATAAAAAGTAAGTAGCCACGTTTTTGTTGGTGTCGTGTCGTAGGGTGTCAAATTTTCTTATCGTCTGGCCTCTTTATATGACAATGTACGTTGGCTTTTTAGCAAATTAGTGTCAGCTGGCATCCTCCATGTACATATATACCTTTGAAAAAATGATTTCTGTATTCGTTATTTAAGCCTTGCATTATTGTTTTGTGTTATGGTACAAGCTCTCGAGAGCTCTGAAGGCTTGGAATATCACTATTTTGTCATTAATGGCAAATCGACGTGGTGATGTAATTGGCAACAAAGGACAAACATTTTTTTTTACCTTTGTATAGTATTCTTCTTATTGATAAAACAAAAAAAAGTCAGTTAGACTTTTTAAACATTTTTATTTTTTCATAGCTGTGCCGCTTTCCTTAATATAAACTATTTTCAGCAAGCACGAATGTTTGTTAGGCTTCAATTTATTTATTATTATTATTTTTTTTTGCATATTCAAAAGCTGTGTGAATAGGGTTGTTGGAAACCGAAACTCTAAAAAAGAGAGATTGTTATTTTTTTATTTGTATTTTTATGCTACTTTTTCTTTTGCAGTTGTGTTGTATATTTACACAAGATGTTCTTCTGGGTGCAAGTTAAGCATCGTCGACAACCGGTAAGTGTTTGACTGAGTGGAATGCTTTTTGCCTGATTGACAATGGTTAATGAGCTAGGTGCTCAACGAGTGTAATAGACAATGACAAAGACAAGCCGTTAGCCAGAGAATAAGCGAGTGGCTCCTCAAAGTGTGCAATTGAATGCAAAGCAATTCTTGTTTGCGTCAGCCATAAGCGAGAAGCAATGCGATGCACAACGAAAAGTGATCGAGAAAACAGTCATATGAAACGATAAGAGATATACGCTGCAGAACTGTCATAGTGAAAGCAAAGCTGAAAATATGACGTCAAGTATGAATGCCAATGAAATCGAAAATTACCAAGCAAGTCTTTCCAATTCAAGCTGATAAGCAAACACTACATACTCGTATGCCTTTGCTGCTTTCTTCTGCTTTGCATCTATTTTACAGCTCTATTCACTTCTCACATTGACTTGCACTTTGTTTTTTTATTTGGTTCCGATTTTGACTTACACTTTGCATTTCCATATTATTCTGGATTTCTACTTTGCATATCACTTTGTTCATTGCCTTGGGTTATACATCGCTTTTTTCTTTGCTCCTTGCTTTACCTCTTAGTTTTCTTCTCACTTCAATTTGTTATGCTTCTGCAATGGTTGCAATGTCAATGATCTCATAAGAAGCACACATTCTGCGAATTTTATAAATTTATGTATGAGTTGCGTCATTAAATATGCTGCAAGAAGTGTGTGTTGCCTTGAGTGTGTGTGTTTGATGTGATTGAAGGCCCCAGTCATGCAAATTACAAGCAGTTCTGCTAGTTGCACTACGCAGTAACTTTGTGTAATTTGTGCTTGGCCACCGTTAACAGAAGCTAAAGACACACACACACACACACACACACACACACACATATATATATATATATATATATATATATATATATATATATATATGTAGCAACGAGCATCCTTGAAGTAAAGTAGGTTTGATTCAAGGCGGGGCATATTACGCCTGTGGCAAACGACAGGTATGACTTTTTATGTGGCACAATGCTAAGCACCGAATGTATTAAACCGGCAGGTGTGCGGGAGAGCTGGCTAAAGAGTTGCTGCTGTCGAGTGCTGCGGGCCATTTGTCGGCTCATTTGCGCTGAGCTGCAAAGTAGCAACAAGCATGAGAATGCCGTTCTAATGCTACTTCATTAGCCTGCAAGTCGTTGGCGGGTGGTAACATTAAATCGCCCACACCAATGCCAACAGTCTTCAGCACCTGTTCCATACCGCACACTCCATGCCACATGCCACATGGCAAAATTCAGCGTCAGCTGCATTCGCTTCAGTTACCTTTATGAGGTCTCAACTGGCGCTGCTGTATTTTTGTCATTGCCGACAGGTGTCAACCTTCCTTATTGTCCTATAGTTACCAGTGTCTCCTATGTCCTGATGTGAATTGGGTGTGTGTGTGTGTGTATGTGCTTGTATGCTTTCGAATCGCCAGAGACAATTTTATGTGAACCGTTTCGGTGTGTGGTCATAAAATGTAAGAAATTCTATGCCACAACAATGAATTATAAGAGAATTTGGATTTATGACCACTAAACCAGCCTTAGGATTTTATTTCGCTCGATTAACTCATTCGCAGGGACCAAATATCTAGAAGTGCAGAGAGCACGGAGAGCAATGTAATTTTCAATGAGATAAAATTCAAATTTGACTTGTCTATACATGCGACAAACTAATACAGACAAAAATCCACATAGTTAAATTTAAATCATTATTAACTCAACCTCACAAAATAAGCAAAATTTAAAATAAAATTTACTAAATATAAAAACAGTGACATTCAAGAAAACACTGATAAAAGCATTTATAACAATATATATGAAATACTCCCTCTCTCTCTCTTGTTGTGAAAGTTATTAAGCAGTTTTACCTGGAATCCATCGTAAGTCCAACTGCCGAACTTCATGACGCATGTTTGCTCATCAAATGGAAAATACTCGACATCGATTTCGCAGGAGCTCTTATAAATGGCCGGTGGTCGCCACTCCACGCGCCCTGTGTAGTTCAATGTTGCCTTTGTCGCCAGCGTCACCTCGAAGTTGCCATCGGCGCTAATAGGGGAAATGTGAACGTTACAATGAGGTACACATTTTTGGATAGATTAAGCTTGGCTAAGGGGAAAACACTCACTTGTTGTAGAGCACAATATCTGGTCGCCAGATGTGATCGGAGGGCACATGAAGCATTTCGACACCGCCATATTCCTTGGGCTCCCATTTGAGCTTGTAGTCGTACCAGGACTGCTCCACCCACAGATTGGTGGTCATTATTTGATTCTTCAGATTGACATCAATCAGTTGCGATAGCTTCAGCTTGATGCGCACCGTCAGCGCATCTGTGACATTTACAACGGGACGCACCAATTTGTTGTAATTGCTAAGCAGATCGTCGTACAGTCGCTTCGCATCCGGATTCGCTGTGCTGCCTTAAAAATAAAAAAGATATACTAATTTACTCACACACACACACACACACACACACACACACACACACATATAAACATCATTATATATGTAAGTTAGAGCTGATCCGTTATACGAGCATAAGCTGTCAGTTGGGATTATTCTGCCCATTATTCTTATCAACTATCTATGGCTATTCGCTCCAGTTTCTATTTTAATTTCCATTTCCACTTGCAATGCACAACGCTGCGTATGCGCAATGCGGCAATAAATGTGCCACACATTAAATTAATGATGCTCTGATAATGGCATCACAATATGCTTGACCAGCCACACCTCCCACTCACAGCATAAGTCCCTCGAATTGTCAGCTCCCTGTGGACATTGCTAATTAGCTTTGCTTTTGGCTTATTCGGTTGAACGACTCGACAACCGAGAAATCTTATAATTGATTTATTTTTACGTCTGACTGTTGCCATACCCTTGCAAGGGGTCTCACAATTATGGCAGAAAAACTTTGGGAATTTATTGAATCTGATCGATAAATTTCATCTACTCATACTCTGAACTTACAGTTCTTTTAACTCTAAAACAATCCAGCTATAGCAAATTATTTTTAAGTAAGCTTTTCTGGTTTCCAACTCTACTGAGTTTTTACTATTGATAATCGAATAAGTGAACATTTTCAAAAATGTATAAAATTATATATACCATATCTAATAGAGAATAAACACCAGCATTTGAAAGTGTATATAATGTTGGTTATAGTTGATGTACTTTCTGCTTGCTATCATTTGTAGTTGCGTTGTCAACCGCCTAAGAATGAAAACTATCCTAATGCGCTTAGACTTTAATACAAGCATTTTTATTGAGAGCCCCAATTCACTCCACCATTCACCACATTTCCCTCATCCGACATGTCGCGTTGGTAGCCAATGTAATAATGATAAGCTGATTAGTGAGCGATTCGTCTAATGACATTGGCGACAATTTAACATCTGCTTGTGCTTGGCTTGGGTCAGGAGGATGCCAATCAAATGGCTCTCTTTGCATGCAGCCAGCCAGGAGACCGGGTAACCAGGCAACTAGGCAGCCAGTCAGGTCTGTCGGCCAGTTGGATTTAGTAAAGGTTGACTGCAGGACTGGTTGGCCTGAATCGTTTTTGCCGCCATTAATGTCGCATTAGCTCATTTCCTGCATCATTAAGGGGCACCTGCAATTTTCGCACAGTTACACCACATGGGGGCCAGAATTGTGCTACCATCCTGCCATCGAGCTGCTGTCATCCAGCCAGTTGGAAATTAGAGCTAGTGTGGGCGTGGCCCTAATCAATTTAGCTGGCTTTCAACTTTGATAAGTCACGCACCGGCGCTGCTGCTATCGAGGCAAAGTTAAGTGCTCCAAGTGCGGCCTCAGCTGCAAGAGTCTGTTAAAAATTAACTACCTACGTATATTTTATTTTAGAGGCTGAACCCATTATTATTTTGTGTGTGTGACACACTTTATACCTCTCCGGGGCAGTATCAATCCGATGGTGATCTTTAAGACTACATCGATTTTCCCATGCAATTTACAGCACTGTAAGCTTACAACTTTACCGGATATTCAGTCACTCATTCGCTTATACGCTTCACAAGGTATGTGACACTCTAGTAGCATGGCAGTGTGTGGCTGTGTGTGTACTTGTGGGCATGGGTTAGCGCTGTTGTCGCCCACGTGGGAAACATTAAGTTAAACGGACCTTTGCGACGACCGTTTTTGTCGCCTGCCTTATTCAGGCTCACACTACGTATACTTTGTACGTCACATTTTAGATGCTTCTCTCCCTCCTATGTGTGAGTGTGTGTATGTATTGGTGTTAATTGACTGCTTTCAATGCCCACATATGGCCTGACAATCACATTAAGGTAACCCAAAAGCACATTTTATGATTGCTTTGCGTGTCGTACATTTCCCGTGACAAAATATTATATGCATACAGACATATATACGTATACATGTATTTATGCTTTTGACTCATTTTTGTTACTAGACAAAAGATGGCAGGACAATTTAATTTTCATGCTAGACACAGGCTCAAATCCGATTACCGCAAATGCTCTTACATTCTAATTATTTCGTATTCGAATTTCGTCCAGCTTTAATGTTCGTATATCTTTATGCTCATCTAGACTTAGAGTAAAGCCCTATTACCTAAGTAATCATATCGTAAGTTTAACACTACATTTATGATTCTGTTATAATTAATGGATTTCTTTGGCAGCCATTGCTTAAATCCGATTCAAAATCTGATCTCGATTTCTAATTATTTCATGAGCATCCGAATATTTTGGCAAAACGTATATTCTTAAATATTGTGTTTGCTTAGCTTAGCTGACAGCTGTTGGCTGTACTAAAATGCAATTTTGTTGTTTGTGCCACAAAACACAGCAAAACGCCATATTCCACGCCATTGCTGACTCCATGACTCTTGTCCAACTATTCTTTTCTATCTCTCTCTCATTCTTACTTTCTCTGACTGTTTTTGTCGCTATATATCTCTTACTTTGTATACTTATTTGTTTGGCAGTGCGTATTTGGGTCACTTCTTATATAATTATATGCTATGACTATTAGAAAATTTATATATGTGCGTGGGTGTAGGAAACGTCACAATAATTAATACACATTGCGTATACGCGCCGCTGTACCATACGCCGACTTTTGCTGTACTCTTTGCTGCTCACATTGATTTTAATTAACAGTAACGTTTTTCACACTGCATCGCACCTATCAACACAGCCCATGGTCTCTTCTTGACCCATTGCAAGCAAGTGAGCAATTGTGAATAGTCGTTATTGAGATTGCCTGCTTGTATATTCACTAACAAATTGAGGTGCAGCTTCTTCAACAGTTATTGGCATTCATTAAGGACGAAGCCAGCTGACAGTTCTGAAATTGAAACTCTAGAACGCATTCATTTTAATTTGACTTGCCAAATTGTGTGTTTTTGTGCGTGTGTGTGTTTTTACCTTTTTTTCTGTATATTCTTCTTCACCTTAATCTTATTCTGTGCTTGTGCTTCAGATGCCTCCTCGTCTTTGCCGAGTTGTGTGTTTACTCAACTGCAAGGCGAATGCAATTTTTGTGTAAACAACGCCATAAATTCCAATGGCTTAACAAGGAAACGTTAGCGCGGACAGACAAGGCCAAGTGAACTTGGCTGCTGCACGACGGGCAGGCAGGTGGTGTCAGCCGGATGCTGGAGTGGATTCGAAAAAAGACGGACGGTGATTGGCTAGTTGGCATCACAAGAAGCAAGAACTGTTAACGACTTCTACTTTAAAAATCCACACGGTTTCTACAAAAGCTAGATATATCAAATTTGGATTGCAGATTGCTATAAAATTATTTTATTTTACTTAGCGCGCTCATAAATATCGTGCTATTTGGCTTACAAATCTCTAGCTATTCTCAAAATTGCATAAAGAACGACGTAATAATCATATAGCAGGAAATTCGATGGGGTTTTTGCAAATTATACTTCAATAAGGGTATAGAGAACTTGAGGCTCTTGTAGGTATCTTCCAGTCCACACTTTAAACTAACTGTTTTTCGCTGTTAAACAGTCGTAAATCAAAACGATGTAAATTTCATTTTCAGATTAACATTTACTAATTCATTTCAAAATATTAATGATTCAAAGGTTGGATGAAATCAATTTTTTATCGACATTTAAAATGTTAATTTAGGTATTCCTGTACGATATGTACTCTTCAGCTGGAAAACAGACATTTCGTAGTCGAGCACTTTCGACTGGAGCATAGATGAGTGTTTTTATGATTTTGTTATGTCCACGACTTTGCACTTTTCAACTTTTTAAACACTTCAAATTTACATGCAATTATTGTAAATGCAAGTGCATGATAATTGAAAAAAACGCAAAAAAAGAAAAATAAAAATATGAGGATGAGAAGCGCAGGAATTTTCAAGTGCAACTCCACTGGCAGTTGCAACAGCTAGTGGGCCGTGGGAACATGAATAATAAAACACTGCGTCAAACCATTGCGGAATGTGTGAGAGGTGTGAGAGTGGGAGAGAAAAAAGGGTACAGTAGGGACACTGAGCCCTTCTGGCCATGTGCATTGAGATTTTGATTAAGAACGTTCCTGACATACTGGCCGAATTCAGATTTTGTTGTTGTTGTTTGTTTGGTCGTTCTTGTTGTTGTTGTTTTCTGGTATGCGTCAAGTGCACATACCCTCTTAGCTGTTGTGGCAAGTGCTTCAGTACGGCCGTCAGGAGTCACATAGCCATCGGCGCACTACATGGCCTTTTGACTGCCATTGTCAACAGCCAAGAAATAAAAAATAGGGCATTGAGCAGAAAGCATGAATGTAGTGAAAAAAATAAGAAGAAATATTGTTAATTTTTAACGTTGTTGCATCGATTGCACAGTGTGCCTTAACTGTTAACCAATAGGGTGCAACAATCTACACTCGCTACGCGTGTGACTGGGTATTTGAGCAAAAGGGTTGTTTCAACAAATTTCCATCTCATTGGGCAGAGGGACAGATAGACACAGAATAAAGGGAATGGACCGCTTGGAGTGGTATCCTTTTGTTTTTTTTCTGCCATCTGTCTGAGGTTAGTTTGTACGCTCAACACACATTCATATGCAAAAATAAATTAGAAAGTCGGACTTCTCAAATATATATTTCAGTCAAAATACAAATAGTTGAGAGTACTTGAAATTGAACACTCGTAGAAATGTGAAATGCCATAAATTGAGCTTAAATTTCTGACTGAAATTGCATACTTTATAACCTTTCAATAGGCTGATCGACGCTCCCAATACACATACAAAAAATTCTGACTTGGTCTTCACACTTTGAACGTTATAAAATAATTAAACTTATTAACAGAATAATGAATTAATATGAGATTTGTTAAACAACTGAGGCCACAATGATTATTTTAAAAAATAAATCAAGGTTCGACTGTGAGTTTTTCAAAGGAAGCTGTGGTTAACTTCTGTTTGGAA